TAAGCTGAAGAATCTCTCCTCCACCTGACTTCGGGCTTGGGGGTCAGTGTCCAAATCCCATCTTGTGGGATTCTTCGTGTTCGGCTTAGTGGTTTAGGGTTTAGGGTTTTTGTTTCATGCGTTCCAAGAGGAGCCTGGCCTGTCAACCCTGCCGCTGGAGCTTTCAGAAGGAGTTGCGACCTTGTGGCTTCGGGGAGTAACAGAACCCCCTTTCCTGAAAGGCGATAAGACTCAGATGAGAAATCCTGGTTGTGGGAGGCGGTTCATGAATCAGGGGTCTAAGTTTGAACCTAAACCCTAAACCTTCAAGAAACACAAACGACATGACATGTCTTAGTCGTCCTTAAACTCCGCTCCCTCAATCCTTACACCCTACCTGCAGCCAATAAACTTGCTTTCTCACTGAACTAGATAGTAAAAGAAGCCATGAAAAGGAACCCTAAACCCTAAAAGGTACGTTTTTCGGGCTACAAGTACCCCCTTGAAGTTGAGCCGTTCCTGAGCCTAGAGCAGGTTGCTTCGGGTTCCTTTTGTCAAGCCGGGTTGTCACATGAGCCCCCTCAACCCTAAACCCCTGAACCCCGAGACACCGAGAGCCTTTGGGTTTAGGGTTTAGGGTTTAGGGCCCCAGACCCTAAACGAGGAATGAAGTGCCGAAGACGCAGGGCATGCTTACCAGATCGAGCACTGTTTGGCACCTCCTCTCCGAGTTGATGCAATCTCTGAATGAATCCCAGCTGATATAGGGACCTTGATACTTTGAACAGATTTTTTGGGGTGGTGTTATCGTATAGTCTAATAGGTATCTAGAGTCCTTTGGGTGTTATCTTGTAGCATATGCAAAACCCGGAACCCTAAATCCTAGGACTTCTGATTATTCAGGCTCCTACATGACGCAACGCGAGGGTTTCGGCCTTCCGGATGGTGAAATTTTTGGGTTGAGGGGTTTGGGGTTTAGTGGTTTAGGGTTTAGGGGTTAGAGAGACCTCGTTCAATAAGGGTTTAGGGGTTTGGGGTGGTTTTGGGGTTTCGGGTTTAGGGGTGTTGGTGTCGGGGGGCTTAGATAGGGCTCCTATAGGGACGGAATATGTAATCCCCTCATCAAGTCCCCATACAGAAGTTATTATCAAAGTTGCCACAAAATAGCCCTTCCCTTCTAATTGTTAACACCCTACACTTACACCCTAAACCCCCAGAACTTTGGCCCCGAATAGCCCCGTTAGAAGCACCCCCCCCCCAAGCTGAGATTGGTTTAGGGTTTAGGTGGGAGCTAGGATTAGG